AGGTATTAGCATAAAACGAGTTTTGGTTCGTTACTTTTTTTTTATGTAGTAACTACACCATGATTATTGTGGTATTTTTTTTATTGAAACCTATATACGATTTACAAAAATTTAAAAGTTTTTGTTTACGTGTCTATATTTAATTCTTGGAATTTAATGGCCGCGGTCAAACACCATAGTTTGTTTAATTTATTAGGGTTAACGCTTCCTTAAGGTTAAGGCTCTCACACTTAGAGTTTAGCTCCTTTTAGTCCTAACCGAACATTCATATACGAGCTATATTTATAGTTTAGGTGAATCGAATCATAATTTTGTTTAGTTTATTAGGATTAAGGCTTCCCTATGATTAACACTCATCACTCTTAGGGTTTAGTTCTTTTTAGTTTGCAAAAACATTAATGAATTTTTGATGAATTTTTAATTTGCTAAAAATATAAATCGGATATGTATAACAAATAAAGAAATGGTTCCTGGAAGGAAAGAAAAGCAACATCCGGTAGGTTGGGTTTGTTTGCAAGGTGACCAAGTCATGCTCCTTGGCGCGCAAGGAATGAGACATCGAATGTCCCCGTTGCATTTTGAAATGGAAGCTCTAATCTGGGCAATATCATCTTTGTTAGAAAGAGGAGTAGAGTGCCATGCTCTTGAGACATATTATTTTGATTTGGTGGATATTATTAGCAATTGTGAGGGGTGGCCAATTTTCTCTATTCTTTCTGCCAACTTCAAGGAGTTACGTGTTCGACTTCTCCAATTTTTGTTATCTTTAATTTCTCGCACTCTTAATCTTAAGGCAGACTGTTTAGCCCGTTCTAGAGATTTACATTTTCACTTTGTAAGCAACTTTTTACCCATTTGGATCACCAATTATGGAGACATATTTAATTAAATGTTTTGGTTGACAAAACAAAATTGTAAAAAATATGATTGGAAATTTAAAATATTGATAGACGATCATATGATATAAATACTGGTAGAAAGTTATATGAGAATGATAAGTGCGACGTGAAACCCTAAAACCACCCGCCAAAACTAATCGAACACTACATACATGAGCAATATTTGTAGATGAACTGAATGAAACCATAACTTTGTTTAATTTGTTAGGGTTTAGGATTCCCTAGGGTTATGATTTCCCACTTTTAGAGTTTAGTTCCTCTTACTTTGCAAAGAAAATATGATTTTTAGATGAATTTTTAATTTGCTAAAAAAAGAAATGGTATATGTATAAATTATAGAAAAATATGATTGGAAAATTATTTTTTATGAAAACTAAATACTAATCGAAATCAATTTAAAATAGTGATATGCGATCATATGATATAAATGCTGGTAGAAAGTTATATGAGAAGGATAAGTGCGACGCGAGCATAAAACCACCTGCCAAAACTAACCGAACACTACATATACGAGCTATATTTGTAGTTGAGCTGAATCAAACCATAGTTTTGTTTAGTTTGTTAGGATTAAGGCTTTCCTAGGGTTAAGACTCCCATTTTTAGAGTTTAGTTTCTTTAAATTGGTAAAAATAACAAAAAGAATTAATATTTGTTGGAGTAAGTTTTTAATTATTTAGTCTCATATATTGATTTGATGAATTTTTAATTTACTAAAAATATAAATGGTATATGTATAAATTATAAAAAACAAATTAATGTTATTCATTTTAATTCGTTTTACTTCGGTATAAATGTTAAAAGTAGACATATATATAATAAAGCATTAGTAATTTATATAAAATAAAAATTATTTCCTATAACGTAATGCTCGCGCTGGACAAACCGAATAGCACCCAATCCATGTCTGGTTATGTTTAACAATTCAAGTAAAAAATTTAATAATTGTGTTATGTTTGGAAACAAAACTTCAAAGTGTGATATTTTTGAGAATTACCTTTTTGTATTTGAATTTAGGCTATGATGATAGGATTCTATGGGTTTATGATTGATGTATTGTTATCAATATTTTACGTGTATTTCTGAGAGTTTAAACTCACATATTCTTTTGATAAAAAAATAATAATCACATATTAGATTTTAGTATCCCTTAATTTATGTGAATGGTAAAAGAATTTTTATGCAATTATTTTTGTTTATCAAGTTGTGATTGGTTTGTTGTCTCTAAGTTTTTTCGTTGTACAAAAATTATGGTTGTGATCGGAATGTGATGTAAAAACATAGTAAAATTTACTAACTACGTTCTATTTAACAAATGTAAATAAAACCTATTAATTTACTTCTTAAGTTTGATTTATTTTACTGTTAGTTTGTGTGATTTGCCAAATTTATAAAAACTAATATGATAACCTAACAATTGCATTAAAATAATGAAAACCAATAAAAAAGCAGACATGTATTTACTGAACTATAATATCTATCCAAGGGGATAATTATACCGTAGAATCAAGAGTTACATATGCACATATTGAATAACACAAAATGGAAACAATACAGAATGTGGATCATATTTGTGGAGAATTGAAGCTTACTAAAACATATACTCCTTTGGCTTTAAAATATAAGCTTTTTTAAAGGTTTTTTTAAAAAAAAATATAAGTTGTTATCACTTTTCAATGCTTTTCTACTTTATTAGATATTGTGCAACCAAAAAAATTATGCAATCTTATTTATAGCTGGTTGAATTGTTTTTATCTTATACGTTAAATGATATTGTTTGAAGAAAAATGATTTCTTTAAATCTCNANGCTTAGACAAAACAATATTCGGAGCGAAGGGAGTAGTTGCAAAAACATGGAATGTAAAAGATAAGAAAAGGATTCAAGATTTTGAGTTGTGAACTATCTCAAACAAAACCCGTGATAATTTNATTATATNACAACGAAGANGTCTTGCCGTGATTCTGAGAAAAACCATACATATCAATTTAGTCACACTTTGAAAGAGTCAACTCAATAGTCTCGGGGTCTGTTCCTTAGTACCAAACATGGAGGAAACATTATATTTTTATATTCTCTCACAAGAAGAAAAACGAGAGAAAGGAAAACTACAGAGATGCCCTAAGTTAAAGATAGTTCAAAACGACGGAGGTAAGAGGCCAAAATTATCTTATTCATATCATGAATGGTTGTTCTTATTAGTAGGACCTGCATTTTTGTCAAAATTTAATAGTGTCAGAAATGAATATTTATCTGGATGCGCTACAAATTCAAATTAATCTACTATTATAATCATTTCCCGCGCGTTGCGCGGATATTGTCCTAGTACCATCATATTTGGCTAACATAAATCGAAAAAAAACTCTCTTCTTTTTAGGCTCTTTTCTGGCCCAAAAGGAGGATAATAGTAAGAAAAAAAGAAAAAAGGGCAAAAGAAAGTTGATGAAATTGTTCCTTTGAAGAGGAAAAGCTGGAGAGCATTTGCATCCAATAGCTCTGAGCCTCTGAATAAGATTCGCATTTCATTCCCCTCCACAGATTTCCAACTCAGCCAAAATTAAAATGAATTAACAACAATTTTTCCTTTTGTTAGTTCAAGCAACTCAAAATTCAAACTAATTCCATAATCTACAAAATTTCAAACAGGCTAGCGTCTGTACTTTGTTTATTAGCCTTTATGTGTAAGAACAGGGAACAAAATTTCAAATATTGTATCAAATTTATTACTTTTCACAGGATTATTTTTCTTCATGTTTAAAATGTTTTTATCAACTAAAAATTGTGGGATCATTTGAAAAAGAAAGAAATATACTCACTATAATAAATTAAATACTAAACGAAAACAAACAAAAGAGTAGCATACAAGTTACTTTTTCTTTTAAGACTTGAGTAGCATAATTAGTGAACAAAACAATTTCTGAGAGCCAAATGGATTTGTTTTCGGTCTGGTACTGACTTTGAGTTTTACCTGACTCTCTACTAGTTTACAATCCCAACTAGATCGGTCTTGTCCACTTTTCTTACTTCTTCACCACTTACTGAAGGTTAGTACTTGGTACTCGAATGCATCCAAATCTCTTTTTTGTCCAAAACTCAAAACACACAAAAAACACATAAAAGATCGAAGCTCCTTCTTCAATTCCAATACCTCACAGCAGTAACTCTGCAACACAGACTAAGTATATATCCAGATTCGATCAATTCACAGCTTAGAGTTGATGACAAACAAAACCAGGAAATGAAGCCAATGAGGCTTTTTTACCTGTTCAGTTTTCTGCAGCTTGAGTTTCGTCCTCTTGGGTCATTGTCTCAGGCTGCGATGGTTCCTCCTCATCCGGTGGCAGCAACCCTTCCTTTGCTTGCAACTTCACAAACTGTTTGCTACGAGCTAATCGGATTGGTCTTCCCATGAAATCCTGCGTAAGTTAATATTTACACATAAGGCACACATTCAATTCCACCAACTATATTACTCTCTTAAAGTCAACTGCCCACATCCAGAGTCTCAGAGAAACTTTCCTTAACCCATTTCTCTAGCTGTCTCATTGATACGTAAAGAGTCTAAAGACTATAGATTTTGGTTTCCAGGTCTATTTATGCTCCCTAAGCTCAATTGGTATTATCATAAACAAACCAACAATAAACCAAATAAATAACACTCTTGTACTTTGGATTCCATTCAACAGCTATAGCAGAAGACGGTACATATCAGTTTCAGTTTTGCTCGAGATTGATCTAACTGATAAGCCTAGAATGCTTATAAAGCATGATTAGATGACTCATCATTTAGAGTATCTTGGATTACCTTTCCTTGGAAGTCAACAAGGGCAGCCTCGGCCTGTTTCTTGGTTTTGAAAGAGACAAACCCGTAACCACTCGACCTCCTTGGATTTTCATGGA